GGAAAATTCTTCTTCTACCAGTCCTTCATCACCTTAAACGAAATTGGGTGAATACATCTCATATTAGTGAGTTACTGGTAGTCACGAAAACAACACTTAATTCGAAAAATAAAGTATAGTATTTGAATGTTATAGCAAATATACATTTGCTTCATCGACAATTCCACCAAAAGAATATAGTATGGCAAAAAGGCCTGGCCTTCCTTGAAAATTCACATTTGCCCTGTGACCCAAAATGCGCTAGTGGCAGTGTGGCCGAGTTGTTAGCATGTCAAGCTCCCATCCTGCACTGTTGCGGTTCGACTCCCGCTGAGGGTGTTGATAAGACCGATGCGAGTCGAAACTGCTGTCCACTGGTGCCTGGATGAGAACAACTTTTGGGAAAGCAAAGCAATGTGAAATTCAACGAAAACGTCAGCTCAACTCATATGATTGTGGGAAAATTCTTCTTCTACCAGTCCTTCATCAGCTTAAACGAAATTGGGTGAATACATCTCATAGTACTGATTTACTGGTAGTCACGAAAACAATAGTCAATTCTAAAAATAATTTTCTATACTCCGTCCTACTCTTCAGGGTGCTGGATGCTTTGTTGATTTCTACATATTCCAAAATATTCCGTTAGCCACATTCTGTAAAGACATTCTTTGAGGGACAAGTTTATTCAAAGCTCGTCTGAAATGTACCTCTTCTACAAGACGGTAACACCAACTTACCGGAAAACTGCTGCAGGCAGGTGCTCCTACAAGTCTGACAACCGCCCGGCTTTATCATCGTGCAGAAGACACGCGAGCAACGAGAGCACTCGGTTGGTGAAGAGTTGGGTTGAGCAGCAAGCGTCCTTATCGGTACTGCCGAGAGGCAGCAGGCACACCAACCGTGTTCAGGGCCTGTACAGCGTTGACAAGGCGAAGAGGAGGGTTCAAGGAGGCAAGGGAACATTCGCAGCAGAGGTTGTGAGCACGGGCGTGTAGGAACAAGTATGGCATTCTAGCATCCTCAGTACGAATCCGATGGAACCTGAGTCTTTTAAGGCCCGATAAAAGATCTGATAGTATGATTTCCGACAATAGGAAAAAGGCCTCAAGATCACATCAAAGTACAACTTAGCCTTGCTTCCTGGAAGTCATACTCACCCAGCTCAGACTGCCAGTTCGACCTCGACTTAGTCTATCCAGCTCCATAAATGGTTAGGACAAATGGTTTCGTATTTTGATTATCATGCTTACAAGCGCATATTTCATTATCTCAACCATACTTATCTACGGACCCAGGCAGTCTCGGTCAAAGATCTTCTCTTGGGTTATTAGGTCTTGAGGATCAGAACATGAGATTAAATCTTTGACAAGTCTGATTAAGGAACCGTATTGCATATAGACACTAACACAGACAAATATACATACTTATACAATCAAGTTAAAATAACAGAACCAGTACGAAAGAAAATTAACCAAACCACTATATATCGATCTATTTAGGTTTTTAATTTTTAATCTTTTGCCTCTATATAAGAATGAAACCCAGCTCTGATGATGTCCATCATATGATGGACGAAAGCTCAGCACGTTTTTACTAGAAACGAGGCAGGAAGTCTCGCAGCCTGCGTCAACATGAATATCTTATAAAAGT